CCCGGACCCGGCCCGGTATTTTATATACCCGGTTCAGACCCGGCCCAGTATTTTTTTAGCCCAGCCCGAACCTGGCCCGGTATTTTTTAGCCCGGCCCAAACCCGACCCAATCAATTTACGGGTCTAAAATTTAGGCCCAGACCCGACCCGACCCGACCCGCAAATTTGCGGGTCTGACCCGGCCCATTTCGGACCCTAGTCCATGGACTGTCCATGTCCAATAATTTGCTTGGACATATGTCCATGTACAACACTGTATCTCTTAACAATATCCTTGATTTATCAAATGATAAGATGTCCAAAAGAGTTTATAAATCATTGGATCAAAGACAAAATGAATGGCTTAGTACAATTCTCAGGCAACGGTCCTGGAGACAAACAGATGAATTTAAAAAATACGTTTATCAATTCACCGAGGATGTTTGTGACAGAACGACCATTCCATATTTGGTTCGCAAGTCTTTTGTAAATCCAATTGAATCATTCAACCCATATCGTCATGAGGGTCATGACATAGCCCAAAGAATTTTGACACACTTGTAAGTGTTTATTTGGAGTATTTAACAATTCACAACTAAAAACTTAATAATTTTTCTATAAATATATCTGAGCGACTTGAAACACCAACAAGGATTGAGAACAAATCCCTTGATTATGAAAGGACTTTCTCTATAGACACAACAGTGTATATTATAAATAGGTTGTTCCGTATGCATCAAGATGTGGTTGAACTTGTATGGTAAGTATTAATTTGCAAAATTCTAAATGATAAAACCAAACTCGTTGTTAATTTTCTCTGTTTACTTAGGATCGAGTTAACAACCCCCCATACAAAAAACCACAAAATGGACGGACTTTTTAAAGTAATCAAGACAAAACAAAGTCAAGCTGTAATTCTATTCGAGTTCTCATACGGCAGACGAGCACCTGAATCAAAGGAAGATGGAGATGAAGTTAAATTGTGTAGGAACTCTATGCGGATTCTAAATAACCTATTACAGAATGTACCTAAAAACATAGCACGCGTTTATTTGGTGCAATCTGCTAGTAAGTATTTAATTAGATGATAGGTAGCAAAAAGTTAGTGACTCTAATATATATATATATTTTAAAGATGGTTTAATTAAAATCAAGTATTTGGTGCGTCCTCTACCTTCGATCTACATTCTTCAAACATTTACAGTTATAAAAATACCAGTGTCTTTTGACGACTTCGAACAATCTGCAAAAATCATGGTTGATTTAATGAACTTGCAAGTATGGATTAGAAATGTTCACATACGCTCATCAAATATTAATAAAATAACCGACTTTGTTATTACAGGCGGACGTATTGTCAACAATTAAAGCAATGAACAAAGTTGTGATTAGACCTAATTATATCAATATAACTTCCGTGCATAATACACCAGAAAAAAATAAGAAGGTGGAACAACCCTCACCTCCCAAATCCCCATGCCCCGGCGAATCACCTTTAGAATTACCATCATTGACTTTTAAAAGTTATTAGGTTCTTTTTTACACTATAGTTAATATTTTTCTCCATGTAATACTTATCTTTTAGTGTTACATTGTAATTGCGTCCAAATAAAAATAATATATTGCGTGACATAATAAATTGATCCTATATTGTATCTATTGAGAAATTCTTTTACAGTTCTGAATTGGTGATCTTTTTATTCAATTAATACAATACAATACAATATTAGTAATAATAATATCCAACGACCCAAGATATTATTATTACTAATAGTTTAACGAATTAATTGTATTGATTATTCCAGTGAATAAAACACGTGATGAAAGTTCAATACGTCAAAAAGAAAAATTTTATTAGCGGAAGTTCGTTTAACCGATTAAGATTATCATTCCAATCAACAAGAGATAGAGGCCCAAAGGCCCTTTTTTTATCATAGAATTGCGCTTATTGGTCGAAAATTTTCATTGATTGATTAGAAAAAATAATTGTTCAAGTACTTCATCCTCTTTACATTATCATCGTTATGGATCTTACCAACGTCACACAGAATTTGAAGGGTCGTTGATTACTTTATCCTTTCGTTGATCCATAGTTATTATTATTATTATTATTATTCGATTTGTAAAAACAATGATAAAGATGTTTGCTCAATCTTCAATTGCAATCAATATTTTAATTAATTGTAATACTTGAGCACCAACATGATCATAAATTAATCACATTGAGGAAGATACGTGAGCATATTTCAATCGTATTATCATCTATACTATCGGTTTTCAACAACATCGAGCGTGCTGCTTGAGAACACCCTATATCTGTCACATGAACTAAGCTTTTTTTTCTTTATGGCTTAAACAATTTTTCAAGTTATTTCTTCAAAAATTATAAATGTGCGAGAAGCTTCACAAGCACAATTAATCAGGGATGGTAAATGACTTCAAATGATCCAAATGACTAGTGACCAGTCATTGGGTCATTTCACATTCAAATGACCATGCTAACTGATAATCTAACGCCTTTTAGCCAAACAAATTCGATTATTAGACATAAAGTAGCTTTTATAAAATATTATGATAATCGTAGCTACACATAAAGTAAAATTTACTAAGTTAATCGTTATTTTAATCGATCTTAAGTTGTTCTGATAACTTTACTGTAAATATTGATTAACTTAGTAAAATTTTGACTTTGTGTGTAGCTATGATCATCGATTACGCGTTCGATAACTTTTTATACTAGGTATCAGGAGCTGATATATGTCCGAAGCAACAATCTGATTGGGCATCACGTGTTTGTTGTTTATGCAGAAATATGCAGTGTAACATAATAAGAAAAATTGATTGGGTGAAGGCAACGGACATTGCATAGTTTGGAGTAGACATAGAGTTCTCGCTACGCTTCGGACAATTAGCTATCTGACCAATAAAATTGCTTCATATATAAGTGACCTAAATGACCTAATGACCTAAATGACCAAGTCATCTACTCAAATGACTTGGTCATTTACCATCTCTGCAATTAATATCACAAATAGGTAATATAAATAGCAATGAAGAAGAAAAAATTACCTTGCGGAAGCTGCTGCCATCCCAATAATCACACTTGTAATAATTGGTATAGTTAGAATATATATATGACTATAAATATATGCTTTTAAATTGAATTCGACCACTTTAATTTTAAAATTGAATATACGCTAAGTGGATTTAGTTTGAAATTCTTTAACGATTTGAGTGAATTTAAAATTTCATTTCAATTTCTAAATCTAGCAAGATTCATTTTGACAATAACAATATGCAGCCAACTCATTGTCTTGTACAGATTAGGGTGTTACTTTTAGTGCACATCATGTGTATAACTTTGTAAGCACACTTATCATTATTGTTATGCATATACGGATAAATTCTTTTATCCTAGAAAATTTTAACCCATGATCTTTATTTTTCAAATTGATTTTGTTTTGAGTTTTAATCATTCTTATAAATATATTTATCAAGGTTATATTGACTTTCCATATTTTAAGTTTCCATTTTGTGGAGTAACATACCCCCTTAGCATAATACCCCAGGTACTATGCACGGTTTATAATATGATCGATTATATACGCTTCTATTACAGCACCCCCCCTTAGTATAGTACCCGGGTATAATTAAATATTTTCTTATGCCCCCGGATATTTTACTCCGCAAAAATACGGTACATAAAATCCAATAGAAGAAACCAATAGTTCAATTAACACAGGTGTCGTCATTCAAAATGAATCAGTTGATAATAATATTGTTGTCACTTTAATTGAATAACTTTATTTAATTTTTTAATACTGATATCGGACATTTGTATGAGAAAGATATGAAAAAGTCCGGTGTAAAGTTAAACAAAAATAAATTACGAATTAGTTGAGATATAACCTCATGTAATGAAATTATAAAGTGCAAATAGCCTCAAGACTCATTTGATTGACAATGCCCATACTATAAATAAGTGCCCAATTTCACTTGTGTTAATTCATTTGCATGTTAAATATGGATGAAAGATATACAGAAGATTCGGAGTTAATAACCAGACATATTAAAAATAATCCTTTATTCTTCGGTACTCTTTTTGATTGCCGTCATTCCAAAGCATTGGGTTCTATTTTGTCTACAAGAAAATTTACAAGAGATCATTTTATCATTCATACAATGAAAACAACTAATTACCAATTAGTCCATGTTAAGAATACGGAAGATAAACTAAAAACATTAAAAGTAGACGGTTCGATGTCTGCTGAGATATTATCTGGTATTATCAATATAGAGGGAAGTGGTTATTCCGATAATACATTTTCTAAAAACTTGGGTGAAGAACAACTTATTTGTCAATATAGTCAAGATAACTATAATGTTGAATTGACTGCCAAAGCAAGAGAAATAGCGGACAAATTTGTTAAAGATCAGCTCCTCAAAAATGTTATTACAGCCAGTGTTGTCAATGGACATGGACATGTCCATGGACTGTCCATGGACATATAAAAATATGGATGTTCATATCCATGAACATATAAAAATATGTCCATGTCCATGTCCATGGACATTGGACATTGTGTCCATGGACTGTCCATGTCCAATAATTTGCTTGGACATATGTCCATGTACAACACTGATTACAGCAACCCATATTGTAACAGAAATAACTATAGGAGCAGAAGTGAACGCATATATATAAGAATCCAACAAAATGATACAAACGAAAATGTATCTTTTAAAAACTACTTTAATGGAAGTATTCATTTTGGTAAAATGAATAAAGCATCATTGAAAGCTAGCTTGGGAAAGTTAGACTTGGAAAATGCTAACAACTATAAGATGCAAATAACTGCTGATTCTAGACCACCAATGCAACAGCAGTTAACATCTATAAAACAGGTGTTCGAATTTATTGAAAGTATAGATATGTCCATTCAAAAAGAAAAGCATTTCAAGTTTATTGGTTCAGATATTACAGGTGTGCCTATTCAGTTTAAACTTAGGCCAATTTCTTGGTTCTTTCCTGAATTTAAAGTCGAAAAACTTTATAGGCAGATACAAGACAATACTCTAGAAAACTTCCTCATCAAACTCAAAAAGTATCAATCTTCTGAATATATCAAGAACCGTGTATTAAAAAAATCAGAAAATCGCTTGCAAATTATTTTATCTGATAATCAATCCAAACTATCAAAAGAGATTTTAGAATTTCAAAAGAAAGTAGAAAAGACTACCAAGAATTATTTTGAAATAATGTGTGAAGCTTTAAAAAAATATAAGATTGGGAAATGCACTCCTGAAGAGCTCTTTAAAATTAAGCAGAATTATGATAAAAGTGATTTCCATACCGAAAAAGTGCACAAGATTGAATCATTTGTATTATACGGGAAAAAAGAACTCAGTATCGTACATGAAAAAGATACAGCTATCAACATTAAATATTTTACAAATCCTGATAAACTGGATGAATGGTTTAATTTCGGAGTAAATGTTAAGATACTGTTACGAACTAGTTTTTTGTCCGAAGGAAATTCCTCAAATAACGTGATACGATATCTCACTGAAATTGCCGATGATTTACAAAAACGAGGTATTGGAAATATTGAAGTTGGAATAGCTTATCCAAGTGTTTCGGATGGCTTTTCTTTAGAGATTAAAGATTACAATGATTCTCAAACTTATAGCGTGAAGAAGATACCCCAAGTCCTCAGAATTTTAAATACTGCTATAGGCAAAGAAAATTCTATCGAAAGCCGCTTTTATATGCTATATGCATTAAGCTTTCGAATACAATTACCTCTTCAAGACTTTTCATCTTTAAATAAACACATATCTTTGTTAAATATTAATCATAATATTCATATTGCATCCCATGCAGATTCTCTTCAAAGAATCAAAGAATCTAAGGATAGTGATATTAAATTTTTCGTTTCATTGGATGCTGATACTTCATTTGAGGCTATTTGTGAGATAAAAAATATTGTGTCAAAAGATTGTTTTTCAAAAATTGAATGGATATTTGGCGAATCAGGTATTTCATTTTTAAATGCAGCACCTTTGATACTTATCTTTTATGGTGGAAAGATCAAAGCCGTATGTTTAGATAAATTGGATCTCTTAATTCTTTTGCAAAATTTTGAAAATAAAAATTTCTCTATTTTGTCATGCGATTCTTTAAGTCATTCATTTTATCTTGATCGATCTAAATTTTCCTTGGAATTTATAAAAACTGTGGATTCAACAAACATTAATATACATAATTTAGATCCAGTAAATCTTAAGATACCATTCAATCAATCGCCAGATAAAACCCTAAGCGATGCATTAAGTGTTATTCGCAGTGCGTAATATTATCAATTGCACAATTAGCTATTGAAAATGATAATGATGATAAACTTAAAGATCTTCTAATGGGACATGGGTGGCTTACTAAAAACTCAAAGTTTAATAACGAAATACCAAAAGATTTAAAAACATCTTACAAAAAATTAGAAAATTTATTAAAACGATACCAATCATTTCATATTAACCCATCATTTCATATTAAAATTTTGATTTTTTTATTGGATCAGTCTTCTAATAAAAAGTTTCCTGACGTTGTGGATGTAATTATATCCAAATATATTAACAGACTACCACGTCATGTTGATCCATATAAAAGTCGCTGGAATAAGATTGAAGAATTGACGAATAGAAAATATTTACCGAATCTAGTTTCATTACTTGCAAAGTCGAATTATGATCCGCAATTATGCAAGCTGCACGAACAGCTGAATAAAATAAGCAACGTCGACAACAAAAAAGATATTAAAAGGATGTTTGAATTACTATCAGAAATGAACTTTACAGAAGAACACAATAAGTATTTCTAGGAAAATTCTAGATTTTTATATTTGGACCAAATTGCTTCATATACGTTGAAAAAACCTCTTATAAAATTTTTATCCTCTGTTGTCATTTTTTGCATTCTTATTTATTTAGTATCTTGTATGATTCCTTATTTTTATACTTTCTTTGGTTATATATTTACTTTGTTTTACTATGTACTTGTCTCATCCATAGTTATATTTATTGGATCCGCCTTATTTCACCGACAGCTCATTTAGTCGACATCACGCCAAGTGACAATTTACACTAAAATACTACTCTAACCCTATCGCTATCGCCATGCGATTATTTTAATTTACACTTATTTTTTACTGATTTATTTATTACACTATATATTTTAATTATGAATATTGTAAATTATATATAATAAGTATATCATTTTTTAAATCCAATATAATTTTAAGCATGTCTATTTCCCCCCTTGGTCGTAATTTAGCTTATGATATTTGTCGGATTTATATTAGCTTTAAGACGTGTTAAAGGCATGGTGGAAATAAGCGTTTCCAAATTTTATATAATTGTTGAGAATCACTGGCAAATATTAAAACTCTGTAATTTTAAAATTTAAAACCCTATATATGTTTGCATAATTATAATTTAATGGATATGACGTCACTGTACTACCGGTAGTACATTGTACTACAATGTGACACTTTTTGAACCCATTTATCTGCCAATTAAAAAAACCGCCTAACTTCATATCATGTGATTATCTTCTTCTTAACTAGCTTGTCACACAGAACTAGTAAAAATCATATAGTCAATCATATACTTTTATCGTTATTAAAAGCTCAGTTAAAATATGAATAAGCGATTAATAATAAATAAATAAAGGATCAGGAACATAAGTGGGCAATTCCCACCCAATTTTTTTTTTTTTTTACCAAATTTTCTCGTATAAAAAAAAAAAAACAGTGAAAAAAATTGAGTAATAAAGTGTAATTGAAGAAAGAATTGACTTATTTGACTTACCCGACAAGCTAAAAAGCTTATTGCAAGCATTATTACGAACGTTGAACAATCTTTTATTATATATATATATATTCTTATTATTATTATTTTTTTTGTTTTTTTTTTTCTTTGCTTTTTTTCTTCGATTTTTATAATATTAAATATGAAAAGCAGTTTACCTAATATTAGAGAAGGTAGTAAAGTTAGTGTTTTAGGATCAGTTATAGGTAAAGACATAGCCTGCCCAATTTTGGGAGATATGTGGAAGACAAAACGACTTTCAGCTACAATTTTACATGCAGCAACTGGTAGAAATAGATGGGTAATTGGTCTTGATGCGAATCCAGAGATTGAGGTTGAACTTCCGGCATGCCGTATAAAGTTTGTTTCTGCTTTTGCAGATGACGATGATGATGATCAGGATAATAATGCATTGGAAACACTAGCTACTAGTGAACCTGAGACAGAATTCTCAAGTGATAGTGAGGAGAGTGAGAATGAGAAAATAGATGTTAGTAATAGAGTTGGGATTCTTTGGACTAATGCAGATATCACGATCGATTCTCGCCAAGTAAATTACTCTTACTCTAATGCACCGAAGGTGCATATTTCTGATATCATAAATGCAAGTCCTAGACAATTTTTTGAACGTTTTTTGCCAGTTGAATTCATTATGTCAACCGTTATACCATCTACAAATAAATGTGGGCGTGCAAGTGAACGGCTTTGGAAGGACTTGACGTGGATGGAATTTATGCGTTTCATTGGTATTCTAACAGTTATGACCTATATTAAATGTGCCGATAGTAGTGATTATTGGTCTTCTACGGAGGTAACAGCTGGTATTTCATTGACATTTGGACAATATATGTCACATAGAAGGTTTCGAAGCATTGTTAAATATTTAACACTAACTGATATATCAGTAAATAATGACCCTTTTTATTTTATTCGCCAGTTTCATGACGCATTTAATGAAAATCTTTGTCATGCTATTACACCAGGAAGTTACCTATGCATTGATGAATCAATGTGCCAATGGATGGGGAAAATTGACAAAGGACCGTTTCAGCGAAAAATACCAAGAAAACCCATCCAGTTGGCTGTGAATTTAAAGCTGTCGCTGATGCCCAAGCTAATCTATTCTTGCAATTAGATCCCGCAGAGCCACCTGAATTTGCTAAAAAAAAAAAATTTTCAGATATTTTTATGCCGACAGTTGCAACTACATTGCGATTAGTTGAGCCATGGTTTCATAGTGGTAGGACAGTTATAGGAGACTCATGGTTTGGTAGCGTAGATATGTGTGTGACTTTGCACAAACATGGGTTATATTCAATTTTGCAATTAAAGAAACGTCGTTATTGGCCAAAAAATATCCCACCTGATATTACAGACATTCTTGAAAATGAATATGGATCAATGAATAGTCGAAAAGGAAAGTTTAATGATGTTGATCTTACATTGTGTTCTCTTCGTGACCGTAAAGACATAGTACTTCTTAGTAATTGCTCAACAACAAGTCTCAAAAGTGAAATAAAAAGATATATCAAAGGTCATGGTAATGTAAAATTTATGAGGCCTGCTCTTTTTGATGAATTCAATGAATACAGATCAGCTGTAGATATACTTAACAATCTTCGTGATAATGCTCTCTCTTATCATGATGTTCTTTCAAATAAATGTTTCACAAATCGGATTCTTGCCTTTTATCTGTCAGTTACTGAGGCAAATAGTTATTCTGCGTATTGCCAGTTTGTTCCAAATAAAAAAAATTTGAAACATATAGATTTTCGTAAGCAACTAGTGAATTTAATATTTGATTATTATTCTGATGAAACTGTAGGAGAACGGGCTAAAAAAAGGCAAAGATATAATAAGAAGAGCCCAAATATTATTGAACATCATCTTGTCAGTCTTAGATGTGACCCTGCAACCAAAAAGCTTAGAGGAAAACGTGTTCAACGCCGCTGTTTAAATTGTCATAAATGTGCAACTACATGCTGCTCTTGTATTATTACACGAGCTTTATGTACAAATTCCTGGGCTAATCACATCTGTGATACGTACAATCCTGTTATGACAAGGTAAAAATTTTTTTTTAATGAATTGTTTGGCATTCATTTTATGATATTCTAAATGCATTACTAATAATCTTTTTTTAGTAAGCCGTGAGAGAGCTTTAAATAGTGTACTACATGTAGTACACCTTTTTTGCAAAATTATACTGTAAATTTAAAATTGTATAATTTTTAATTATATAATCAAAATCAAAAAAAAATTGCACAAATGTATAAAGTTACTTTTATTAATTTTTTTAATAAAATATCTTTTGAATTGGATAATATTTGTGCCCGTTATGAAGTTTATAAAATGTACTACCGGTAGTACAAAATGTGACCTCATATCCATTAATAAAATCACTTCCTTCTAATATAATAAAATTACTCTGGACATATTTTCTGTCTCTTTAAACATACCTCAAGCCAAAACGTCATTAAAAAATGCTAATATCTGGTATATATCTATATCCACAAAGATGTATTTTGTATCAATTGCACTTTTATATAGTAAATATAATTAGGGTTTATAATTATTAGTTATTCAATATCATGCTATATTTCTTTTTAAGTTGTTCATTCAAAAACTATTTATTTACAATAATAGTATCATACTGTAATAACAGATTTTTTGCTAATTAAACCTATTAATTTATGTATCATAGCCGTAAAGTGATATTATTTCGGAAATTACACCATTTAAAATATCATAACTCTATATTTGGTCCAAAATACAAAATAATTCACACTTGTATATGCACGTGAAGTCTTGTCTCATGTTGCTTCTAAGGCTTTGCGGGGTTAAGAATTTACACAGGATACTAATATTTATGTCTTCAGAGCAGGGTTAGCAATGGAACTCAATGGAGCTCCATTGCCAACCCTGCTTCAGAGCTATCATACCAGAAATATCAACTGAGCAACGACCACAGGTCGAAATAAGGTAAATCGGGTTCAAATCGGCATCACAAAATCAACAGATATTTGGCGCAAATAAGATACCTATAGGATACAATTCGGATTAATATCAGCATGCAAGACATATTGGCAAAACGATAGCTCAATAGGTAAATCGATAGAGCTTATCTTATAGCTCTATCGATTTACTTATTGAGCTATCGTTTTGCCGATATGTCTTGTATGCTGATATTTGCGCCAAATATCTGTTTCAAATCGGGTTCATATCAGGATTTTGTGAACCCGATTTGCCTTATTTCGACCTGTGGACCTTTTGACGATTATAAATTTGATAAAGAATTTCAACTTAAAGTTACAGAATATGAGAATATAATCGAATGGATCCTTTAAAAGATTAGATAATATTTAAATTTTGGAGATAAAGGTTTGACAACCTAGTTATATGAAAAATACAATGACAAAGCCGAATATGAATATGAATATCAATATACACAGTCATGTAAACTATCACATAGATGGAGCTTAGAATATTGCATAGTTCTCAAATTCACTATATTTTGTGTAAGTTAAAATTTTAATTAATTATTTATACATATTTGCTTAATTAATATTACACTTTATATTAATAATTATCGTGCAAACTCTTATGACCATAGATTTTTTCTTGTACTTTATTACATAAGCACAACAATCTCTAGTTAGCCAATAATGACTTGTAAATCATGATCATAATTGCACGATAACATCGATATTGGATCATGCGATGATAAATATCATAAAATTTGTTCTGCCGGAACAAATTTCATGATATTTATCATCGCATGATCCAATAACTTATAAATAATATTTATAAGTTTAAAGATTTCATGCAATCAAAGGATAATAAACTTGAAGTATATTGGCTGACACAAGACACAACCACAAATGGATATTCTTAAAGGAATATTCGTAATAAAATATATACAAATTGCAAACCGATACAACACCTGACATTTATCCTGGATGTAAAGATCAACATGTCAAAAAATTTCAAATAAAAAAATACTTTAAATTAT